CTCAGCCCTGCTGACATCCTGATTTCCATCTGTGAGATCCTGAGCAGAGAACCCCGCCATATGCACAGCCCAGACTCCTGACCTGCAGACCTGTGGGAAAATAAATGATCCTTGTTGTAAAATGTAATTATTAAAGTATGTATTTGTTTACTGTCGGCTGTGCTGGGTCTTTGTCGCTGTGCACGGGCTTTCTCCAGTTGTGAGCAGGGGCTCTTCTTGTTACAGTGCTCGGGCGTCTCACTGTGGCGGCCTCTCGTTGCAGAGCCCTGGCTGTCGGCGTGCATGCTCGGCAGTTGTGACACATCGGCTTAGTCCCTCCATGGCACATGGAATCTTCCCGAGAGAACCCCTGTCCCCCTGCACTGGCAGGGTTCTCATCCACTGTACCACCAGGGAAGTCTGCCCCTTCATTTTAAGCCATTAAGTTTGTGTTGATTTCTTGCATAAGTAGCAATAGAAAATGAATTAATCAACTACTACCCAGATCAAGATATAGAGTGTTTATAGAACATCCAGTATATTTCTAGCACTCTAGTATAGCCCCTTAACGGTGAAAAATGCATTTTCGCACATCGTAGTATTGAATTTTCACAACAACCCAGTAAACTAAGATCCTCAGATATATAGATGACACCACCCTTATGGCAGAAAGCAAAGAGGAACCAAAGAGCCTCTTTAAAGTGAAAGAAGAGAGTGAAAAAGCTGGCTTAAACCTCAACATTCAAAAAACGAAGTTCATGGCATCCAGTCCCATCAGTTCATGGCAAATAGATGGGGAAACAGTGGGAACAGTGACAGACTTTATATTCTTGGGCTCAAATTCACTGCCAGTGGTGACTGTGGCCATGAAATTACAAGATTCTCTGCTTGCTTTTTGGAAGGAAAGCTGTGGCCAACCTAGATAGCATATTAAAAAGCAGAGACACTACTTTGCTGGCAAAGGTCTGTCTAGTCAAAGCTCTGGTTTTTCCAGTAGTCACGTATGGATGTGAGAGTTGGACCATAAAGAAAGTTGAGTGATGAAGAATTGATACTTTTTAACTGTGGTGTTGGAGAACTCTTGAGAGTCCTTTGGACTGCAAGAAGATCAAACCAGTCAATCCTAAAGGAAATCAGTCCTGAATATTCATTGGAAGGACTGATGCTGAAGCTGAAGCTCCAATACTTTGGCCACCTGATGCAAAGAACTAACTCACTGGAAAATACCCTGATGCTGGGAAAGATTGAAGGCAGGAAGAGAAGGGGATGACAGAGGATGAGATGGTTGGATGGCATTACCAACTTGATAGATGTGAGTTTGAGCAAGCTCCATGAGTTGGTGATGGACAGGGAAACCTGGGATGCTGCAGTCCATGGGGTCACAAAGAGTCGGTCATGACTGAGCGACTGAACTGAACTGAAACCAAGGTCCAGGTCCATTTAACTTAGGAAATCAAAGGACTCGTATCCTACACATTGCTGTTGTTTAGTCTCAAAGTTGTGTCTGATTCTTTTGCAACCCCATGGACCCTGTACCACCAGGCTCCTCTGTCCACGGGATTTCCCAGGCAAGACATAACACCCAGCAAACCTGCTGTCATTCGGGGAACGGAAGCCCACTCCTAACCACCGTTTCAGTAACGAAATGTAGGTCTCTATAAATGGTGCCATCTCCTATCTCCTCAGCTCCCTAAGAAACCTTGGCAGGTCACTCTGACTTGCTTTGTTTACCTTCAAGAGATATTTGGACTAGCATTCTCTGAGGTCACTTTCAACATCTGAATCTACAGGTATTTCTACCTCCGATGGCATCTTTAGCCTTCCAGTGTAAGATGCTTAGCTTTTAGGGGAAAGAAAGAAAAATCAAATTCTCAGGGTTTTGTAGGGGAAATTCAAGGTCCAGTAAAAACTTGAACCACTGGAGTCAGTCGGGAGCTAAGCCCTCCTGAGCTCCCAGCCCCGGACAGGATGTGGCCGGACAGCTGGCCTTACCTCCTGGAGGCGGCTCTCCTATGCTCGAGTTCGTAGGCAGGCAATCGATTGCCTCCGTTTCTTCTTGTCTTGCCCTTCTTTCCCCGCCTTAGTTCCAGTTCCCTGCCAGGAAAATAAAGGGACCTGTGTTTGTCCCTACACATCCCCACCCTGACTTCACACAGCCTGCCTCTCATACCGCTCTTTCCAAGTGGTTTAGGGAAACTGATCTCTGCCCACATTTCTCATTTGGTCCCATTCGTGGCCCCAATAGCCCTTATTATGGCTAATGAATGAGATGGAATGATGCTCTTTGGAGGAAAATTTAAGCTATGGGCTTTTAAAGAGAAGCCAAGACATTTTAGAGAAGTAGGGACCTTACTTGCAAATAATCAAAACTGTCCCTTCTGATTTTGCATAAAAATCTTTATGTCTTACAGCCACCTCCGTATAAATTGCCTTCACCATCAATGTTCAAGATAAATATAAAGTTGAGCAATAACTTGTTTATGTTTTTTAATTATTTTTATTCCACTTTTACAGTACATTAAGGGTTATATTATGAATTTAAGGGGCTTTTATATCTCAGATAGCTTACGTGAAAATTCTTTCTGAGCTCCAAGAAACGCTGACTTTTTACACAGTTCAGACTGCTTGAAATCGTTAGTCAGGAAATGTTTTTGTCCCAGTTGACCATAAGAGGGCAATGTAAGTACACACATTTCTCTTTAAAATTACCTTTTGTTATCTAGTGCTGCATGTTTAAAGAATTAATGTGAGGTTCAGTAATTGATTTGCTTTGCTTGACTTAACTCTGATAGTAAATATAATTAGCATTTGAATGGAAATGGCAATTGTTTCCGGTGTGATATACATGTTTCTTTGTAACACTTACTTGACACAGAATAGCTGAGTGTAACCTGGCAAAAATTGTGATTTTAAAATCACTTTTGATTCCCATTCCAGTAGATAATTTGTTTGGGCCCCATGTGTGTGCTCTGGCCTGTGTAACCTTGATGTGTTGATATAATAATGAGCTTTGAGCAAGATGTGATCACATGGTAATGCCTCATCTAGTAGCATGTTGAGAAATTGCTTTTGAATAAGCCAAACAGATGTTTACCCTACCCCCCAGTTTTCTTTGATAATCACATTTGCCAAAAAAGCATTTACAGTGCTGTTTGCTTTTCAATTTAGACCTTGAGCCTGCGAAGAATTTGCAGATGCCTAAGAAAAAGGATTAAATACGCACCCCCTGTCAATAGGGCATCTTCTTTGAAGGGAATAAAACCAAAATAACTTTGAGTAATATAGATACTATCAAGAAGTCAAAGAAGGAGGGTGGCTCACTATGAAAGAGCCCACGTATGCAGGAGACGTGGGTTCAGTCCCTGTCCTGGGAGGATCCCACATGCCACAGGGCGGCTGAGCCTGTGTGCGCCAGAATTATGGAGCATGTGCTCTAGAGTCCAGCAGCCACAGCTACAGAAAAGCCCGTGCAGCGGCGAAGACCCAGCACTGCCATAAATAAATAAATAAAATAACAAATGAACTGGGCAAGCAGATAGGCATTGGAAGGAGGTAGAATTTTTTTTTCTTTAATAAAAAAATCAAAGAAGCTGAAAATAGTCACGAGCAGGAGACTTACTTAAATTTCAATTTCTAAGTCATATGAGCACTTGGATTTTGAATTGTGGTTTAACAGGTCAGACTATAGAATTGCTGGATTATGATCAAGATTTGAACCTTGGGGTGTGTAAGGGAGTGATGTAAAATGATTGGTGGTTTTTGGAAGATTATAAACTTGAATAATAAGTGTTAGAAATGAATAAATGTACACTTTCTGGAAAAACGCCTAAAAGAAAAAGGCCTGTATCCACAGACGTCTTGTTTAGGGAGGTGATGTAGCACAGTGGTTAAGAGCATGGGCTTGGGGCCTACCTGCTTGGATTAGATCCTGACTTTGCTACTTCCTGGCTCTGGAACTGAGGTCAAGTTACTTAACTGTTTTGAAAGGTAGGGCCTATCTTGAAGGGTTATCATGAGAGTCCTTTGAGATAATACATTTAATTGCTCAGAACAGTGTCTGGTGCAGAGTAAACTTGCAGGAAATATTAGGCATCCCTGTTGAAGCATGTAAAGTGCTGTTTCCACTGAAAAATTTCAGTGGCATTTTCTGAGGGAGGTGTTTGGTAAGAAGGGTGTTGACTGTCACTGTGAAAGGTGTCCTGGTGCTTGTGTGATCATGTGTAACTATGCTACAACCATGAGTACATACTGGTGATGCAATTTTTTTTTTTTTTTTTAATTTGGCCACACTGGATCTTAGTTGGGGCATGTGAGATCTAGATCTAGTTCCCTGACCAGGGATGGAACCCCAGCCCTCTGCGTTGGGAGCACAGAGCCTTAGCCACTGGACCCCCAGAGAAGTCCCTGATGCAGTTTTATTTTATTTTTGCAATTTTAATATTATTCATTATGCATAAGGACTTTTGAACCTTTTGTGTGGTGGAGAGTAATTCTTTAGACCTTGTGTCATTGGTTTGTTTTCTGTGTTCAGTGATGGTTTTCTGAGTTAATATTTGATTGTGGGAGCCGTTGATTGAAACTTCTGAATGAGCTAAGAAACAGTAAGGACTAATACTGCCATGCACATGTAAAATATGAATTTAAGTTATTACTTGCCTCACAGGCATTTGAGTGAGCCATAACCCCGGACAGTGCTTAGATCTACACATTTCCTTGGTTTTTGCCTGCTTTTATTTTGAGAAAAACATGCTTCATCAGAGGGAATGCTCAATGTCCCCTTTCCCCTTCTGCCCACAAACATCCTCACACCCATTTTAGATCTTCCTGTTTTTGTGCAAAGGAGAACTTTTTGTAGGAGAGGGAATGTCTGGGATTTCTTTGAGATGTGACAGCCGGAAATGTCGCCCATAACCAGCAGGCTAACAAAAATAGGAGCATAATTGTGTTTTAACTTGAAATATTTTTATGTATGATTTGTTGGAAGAGAATTTCAGAATATCTTCTTTTTTTTTTTTTTCCAGAAACCAACAGCCTAGGACTATCTCAAGGTTTAGGAACTTTTCCTTCTGGTTATTATTACAAAGATCAGTGGAGGCCCAGGAGGTTTAAGATGCGCCAGTTTAATGACCCTGATAACATTACAGAATGCTTACAGAGAAAAGTGGTGCATTTTTTTGGTGACTCGACAATCAGACAGTGGTTTGAATACCTCACTACATTTGTTCCAGGTTGGTACTTTGCTTTTCATTTCGTAACTCCCACACATACAAGATCCAGCTCTGAAATAAGCAGACCCAGCCCGGTCCCTGCAGAAAGGCATCAGGTGAGGGAAAACTGCCTTCTCTGAAGGACTCAGGGCGGGTCCTAATGCTGGAGAGATGAGAGAGAGTTCCTGACCAGTGGTGGGGCTGGCATGCATCCACGCAAGCTCTGGCTGCCTGTTGCAGTTCACACCACTGACAAGCCGTGTGACCCCGGACGAGTCATCTGCTTCTCAGGGCGTCGTTCCTCCAAGTGTGCGATGCGGTGCCGGACACTCATCTCACAGGTGTCGTCCCTTCTGACCTCCTAGGCTGTGAGATGGAAGCGAACATTTCCACTTGTTTCTCTCCTAGTTCTGTTTGGTCCTACTCCAAGTTTATAATCGATTTAAGTGGAA